TAGACCTATTGTTCGAAGTTAGCTTTCAAGAAATCGCATAGATGTGATGGACTTTTCACACGGTTACCCAGTATTGCTGCCATCAGTGATCTTTTTCTAATATTCAGGTCAAATGAAATGAAATAAAAAATAACTGATGTTTCCTTAGCAATGTCAGTGGTTCCTTTGAAGTCCTTTTTTTTTGACCTCAGCACAAGGTAGGGTTACGGAATTAAACTGTTCGAAGAACTTTTGGGCAATGGAGCTAACTTTAACAGCGAGCTTGGAGTCCACATCTAACTGGACAGTTTAAACATCTTTGAAGAATAAATGAGGTGTTTTAAAATTACATTGGAGAGGGAGCTTATCCTTTTTCCAAATGTCTTGAATTCCTTATTGACCGGTTCTAGGCATTGTAGACAAGTTCAAACCCCTCAAATTGTTCTCCTTCGTCCTTATACGAATCTGAGGCATAACTGCGTCGCTCAGCTTCTGGGAATAACTTCCGTCGAACGCTTGAGCCAAAAATGAGTGGCAGGTGCTGGCTGTTGTCAATCGCCAAATGGCAAAGAATCCCTTCTTTGGAATGAGCTATTTTTTCACAAGCCGTTTGCTGACATCGCCCAGTCCAACATATTGGTGTGTTCGGAATTTATCAGAATGGCCTTCACACACGCTTAAATCCTCCACCAGAATGGATTTCTTTGTTGTGGAAGTGGGGATAGAATAGAAACATTTGGAGAATGGGCTGAAAAATGGAAAAAGACACTGAAGGATTATAAATAAAGAATGATCTAGGCAGTTGAAAGGTCAGAACTGAGATGGTACAGGTGCAAGAGGATAATTTCGTACTTGCGGTTCAGAATAGAAAGATTTCTCGATAAGTTTGATGAGTATATATCATGATGAGTATCGAACTTTATCCTCACCATGCGTTGCCTTCACTCCCTAAAGAAGCACTCTAAAAATTTCATTCAGCGTCGAAGGTCGGGGCTTCTAAGCAAGTGCGTTCGATCGAATTATGTTTGAACTTGAAGGGGTCGCAGTTCCTTCCTCTTCCTCTCTTTCCTTCATGCTTTAAAATTCAAAGATCATCATTAAAAAGAATGTGTCAGTTCTCTCCACCGTAAAGTGGAATCTTTACATTTAAAATGCTAAAGAACAAGCATCAAAATAACGGAATAAACATAAAACAGCAGCCAAAGGTTTATTATGATATTAAAAACGTCAGTTATATAAATAACAACTCTTTGAAGACGCCACTTCGCATAAGATATAAAAATTCAGGTACCATCGTTTTATTCCCCTCGTCCATCTCGACAACAAGCACCACCACCACCACTTCCACCGAAACCCACCGTACCCTGCCCCTCCAGCCCAATCTCTCAGGTATTTCTCAGTCTATTTTTCATTTTAAAGTAAATTTTCGCCATATGTGATGGTTCAACTGGTTTTCGTTCATGCCCATTGATGAAATGGCTCCAGAGCGACTCAAAGATGAGCGCAGTCTTGATGAGCTCCTTGCACCATTAGCTCTAGTTCCTCATTAAGGCTATACGGATCTGTTTACCGCTTTTCCTTGCCTTTTTTCGATGACAACAAAAAAAAAACATTGCAGTCGACCTTGTAACTATCGTCGCAATGATGCTAACATTTGGATAAACAACAGCAGCAAACATCTTACTTAGAGTGCGGCATTCAGAATATTTGCCAGTAGTAGGTGATCCTGATTGTCTGAAAATGATGGGAGGGGAAAGATTATTAGACTCTCTTCGTTAAGCTATCTTATTCTGGCATGCGCCACGCACTTTGTTTCCGTTCAAATCGTAGTGAGGTCCACGTAGATAACCATCCTACACAACGACTTTGGGCTTACCCGATGAATTTCCACACCCGGCTTCTCCGTTTTGGGTGGATTTCGATGAGGTATACTTGTGCTTACAGGCATCTCATCTGCTTTTTTTTTTGAGGAGGAAAAAATTTTTGACCATCCTGATGTCATTCCTGCTTCCAAGAAATTTTAGCATGTGAAAAGAGGAGAAGGGAATAGAGAATGTTCAATTAACATAGTTACTTTGTTCACATTTCTTCCCGTGATGAAACCTTTTTCGGGTCTAATTCCCCACGCTCAGAAAACCATGGCCGTCCGTTCCGTTCCATTTCATCAAAACAAAGCTCTGTTATGCATCTCGTGGGAGACAAGCAATGGATTTGTTATTATGAGCTGACGGCCAATTTTCAGGCACAGGGTATTGTTGAGCTCTCATGTAAGGCGTCACATTAGGGTGGAAATAACTATATCCTGAACAACCCTGCGTAAAGGAGCTCGGTGTTTCAATTGAGAAGCAGACGCACTTTGTGTGTCGGTCCTCTGGTTCCCTGTAGGTTGTAAATGGTTTATTCTCGGCTTCTTACATATTTTTCTGGAGGAATGCTGCTGTTTTTCACAAAAGGAGGAACCTTAAATGGTAACTCAAAAATGCAAGGGTGAAAAGAGGCTAAAGGTCTTGGCATCGTCCGCTACTGTAAATTTTCAATGCATTTTACACTCTTTATTCTTCATGGGTGATTTTAAGGTGATGTTGTTCTGAATTGAGATCTTTTCGTCTTTACATTATACTTGGTTCGGTTTTTTGATGTAAGGTACATCCGTAGGTTAAGGGGGTGTAATGGCGATTGGCGACTATCACACACACGTGGTCCAGGGATCGAATCCAGGATCGTCACCCGTTTAGGCCGAACAATCATACCATCCTTCCCGGGATTGGCTAATTGGTACCAGACTTTTCTGGGAGGACAAAAGCACTGGCTTATACACTGGCTGTCAATCGCAGGCCATTGTCTAGGCCACATACGCATTGAGTACGTCACCGCGATTCTGAATTAATACGAATTCGTAGGTGTATGTCAAACACGGGATTGATTGAATTCAATAGCTTTAAACTTTATCCTTTTATTCACATCTCAGCATATAAGCAAGAGAAAGCTATATTTCATTGTACTTCGAAGTGGGCCTTTTTCGAAGGGCAGGGTATCTAAGCGATTTCTAGTGGTAACATGCTCCTAAGTTATAGAGCTATCCCCGGTTAAAATATATGCAAACGAGAGTTCATCGACTAGGACGTCGGTAAAGATCAAAGAGTAGGCCATTAGCTAAGAATAGCCAGCTCTCCTGCTCTTCTTTCTCTCACGCGTCAAGCCAAAGCTTTGGCGCGGGCGTGTTCCCAGCAGTATCAAGTCATTCCCACATTGGGCGTTGCATAAAATCAGATAAGCCCTAGCCAACATGGCAATCTATTTATTCGCAGCCAGTTTTTAACGTCATTTTCGTCCTTTCAGCTACTGAAATTTTGGCCTCTCATGTTATCTAGTGGTTCTCTACGTATTTCCCCATGAGTACTCCGATTTTTCGTCATAGTTTTTCATTTTCACAGTCCACTACGTTCGTGGTTGACTGTTGAACAGTCAGCTGTCCGTATTCGATGGCAAACCAGTCAGCAATTTAAAATTCCACGCTCAATACGCTCTTAGCCTTCCGCCCAGTGAGCAATCACTCCCACTCCGTTCTACATCTATCGATATTTTCCATCCACCCACACTGATTGTCCTTATTTGATCCGTCCGTGTTTCCTCCTCCCCATACATGGTATTCATGTCAAAAACATGAACTTCATAGCCGACATTTTTCAGGTGGCTCGAAACTTTTCCGAACTGGCTTCCGATTTGGAATTGTTGAATCGTGGATCAACACGAGACCAACAACTGCATGATCCTCCAAAGTGAGTTTTCTTTAGGCAGCGTTTTTCGGGGATTTTATGTAGCCTTTGTTTGGTAAAGGATTACCGTGGCCATTATGAGTTTGCTTGCTGGCATTGGCTTTGTTCGTATTCATTTCGGTTTCGAAAATGGGTTTTGGAGCTAATATTCTGTTTTTCGACATCACTTTTTTGTCCCTATTCATGGTCGATCGATAATTTTCTATTCCCACTCCGGGATTTCAGTACGAAAGTTTTCCCTCATATCAAATCGGTAATGAGCTCTATAGTCAGAAAGTTTTTTGAAATCATTTTTACAAAGCTGTCAAGGTGAATGAGTCTGAGGCACTTCACCGATTTCTTTTGACAACACAAATATTCTGTATAATTGCCTCAACACTGAAGAGGTGGTATATGTCTGAAGTATGCCCAAAATTTCTCCAAATCCTTTTTTTCTATGGTGGCTTGCTCCAGAATCAGACCTAATTTTTCCGGAACGCTACTATTCACGTAGAATTACCCCAGTACTTACTAATGGCTTATCTATGCAATAAATTCAGCACCTAGTTGAACCTAAGAATTTTTGGCACATTAGATCGGAAGAGTAAATGGTTTTCTCGAAGCCTTGCTACTACGACTACATATCTCAACATAGAAGAGTGATTTCTCTGCACAGTATTATCAGAATCTCTCCAAGCCCTCGGGTTTTTGATAGTTCCTTCTCTTAGGCCCACAACTATCGCTTCCGGAGCGATTCTATCAAGTATTGTCCCTCAAGAGTAGTTTATTTATGTAGTATACCGTGAATCTTGCTCGATGATAGGTTT